ACAATAATACTTTTCATTGGAGGAAAATTTGTTCGTTGATTTACACAGTATTGTATCCAAGAATTGATTTGTTATACATTGCCTAGAGCAAAAAGGTATTTGTTTTATTTTTTTGAGCTTAGTTGGGTGATTTAAAAACATTTTTTTTTGTGGTGATTCCAACACAGTGTGGACATTAAAAATCTTTTTGGACATTATTTTTTGCATAAATTTATTTTTTGCATAAATTTTTTATTTTATATTTTTTCTTATATTCACTTTGTATTATTTACTCAATTAGCGCATTCCTTTTTATTTATTTATTTGCAGTCTACATTTGCTTAGATTGGCCAGGACTTTACAGCTTCCTTCATGGTGGAAAAGCATATATACACATGATTGAGCCCGAGCCTGCTTAGTAGCGCACAGTGTGCCCCTTCTATGATCGCTGTTACCAGTCACTGGGTATCATGTGATCACTGTAATTGGTGATAGCGGTCAAATGATAAAGCAACCTGTCATGGATGGCTTTCCAGCTTACTTACTGTTGTGATCTGGGATTAGCCCACCGCGATCACATGGTACCTGGCTACCTGTACTATGTGATTAGCTTAGCCAATCACATATCACAACGAAAAGCAATCTGTTAAGGAATAGGAAACCCATTCATGAGAGCTAAAGCTATTGTTTATACAGTGATCTTCACTGTATAAGCAAAAAACAGTGTAAAAAAGAAAGACATCCCTGATCAACCCTCCAGACTAGTAGTGTGTCACTATGGTAACTTTGAGCTACTCTGATAGCCATGTATGTTAAAAAGATAAAAAAAAAGTTTTAAAAAATTGAATTTATTTTTTTTTAAACATACTGTCAGCAGTCAGTAATCACCACCACACCAGTTGTATGACAACACTGTATTACACTGGTGCCAGTATGTGGGAAAAAAAAAATGTCATGTCTTCCTTTTTGAAAACATTGGAACTTAAAAAAAACAAAACAAAAAAAAAACCTCACAATGTCTCTTACTATATAACTCATACGGTCTAATTTTCTAAAAAGAGGTCATTTGGGTGGTAATTATATTGCTCTGGCATTTAGGGCCTCAGGAAATGAGATAGCAGTCAGTACATCAGGACTGATCAGATTTCAAATATATACAGTATGTACCATAGTTTGTAGACACCATAACCTTCACACAAACCAATATACACTTATTTGGATTTTTTTTTTTTTTTTTTAACAAGATATGTAGCAGCATACATTTTGGCCTACATTAAGGAAATTTGATATGGATATGTGTTATAAACAGAAATTGGAATATATTTTCTTTTCTTTAATATTTGGTCTTTCATTTATATAATAAAAAATAAACCCAGTGGTGATCAAATACCACCAAAAGAAAGCCCTATTTGTGTGAAAACAATGATACAAATTTTTTTTTTTTTTGGGTAAAGCGCTGCATAACCGTGTAATTGCCAGTTAAAGTGACGCAGTTCCAAAAAGCAAAAAATAGCCTGGTCATGAAGGGGGTAAAAGCTTTCAGAGCTCAAGTGGTTAAATAACTAAACCCAGGAACAAAATTGTGATATATTGTAGCTTACATTCCTTAGAAATACCTTAAGTTTTCTTTTTACAACCCATGAATATTTACAAAAAAAATAGCTGTTGATTGTGCCAGAAATGCATATTCCCTTGTCACTTCTTGTGAACTGCATAGAAAAAGGATCTTCCTTCAGAGCCATTTTCTATAATCTACAATTTGCCATCCCTTCATGTAGTCTGTATCAAAACTGCAACCTTGGGTGACATTCATGGGTTTCTTTTATAGATACAGTGGGATGAGCGATATAGCCACCCAGGGAGAAAAAGTGTTATTTGCAGGATTACCAGGTGAAATAAAGCAAAAGAAGCTTAAACAAAAAGACAGCCACCATACCAGTTACTAGTAGGCTGCAATATATTACATTTTTGGTTTTGGGTTAACATACACTTTATAAAAATAATAATAAACACACTCCAAAAGTAATCCAAAGCCAAGTTTTGGAAATAAAAGTACTTTAGGGTTATTTGGAGAAGGTGGATTCTGTGCATCCATTTGCTCTTTAGCAAGCCATACAGTTTATGAATCCAGCCAGTCAGTATACATGAGCGGTTTCAGTATTGCAAGTCAGCATGTACATTCTGTGGGGAAAATTATTATTTGATCCCTTGCAGATTTTGTAAGTTTGCCCACTTACAAAGAAATGAAGAGTCTATAATTTTTTTTTTTTTATCATGGGTGTATTTTAAATAAAAGACAGAATATCAACTGAACTGCAACTCAATGTATAACATTTTATCATGTGTTTTTTCTGAGTAAAATAAGTATTTGAACCCCTAGCAACCAACAATAATTCTGGTTGCCACGGACTGGCTATGTGCTCATGTGGTACACAGATTAGTCCTGTCAATTTAAGAAGATGCTCCAAACAACAACTCGATATGCGAATAAAAGACACCTATCCACAGAATCTCTCTTTCTTGGGCACCAACATGGGCAAGGCCAAAGAGCTGTCAAAGAACGTCAGGGACAAGATTGTAGACCTACACAAGGCTGGAAGGAGCTAAAAGACCATCAACAAGAATCTTGGTGAGAAGCAGGCAACTGTTGGAGCGATTATTCGCAAATGTAAGAAATACAAAATAATCGCCCTCGATCTGGAGCTCCATGCAAGACTTTGCATCATGGGGTAAGGATGATCATGAGAAGAGTGAAGGATCAGCCCAGAACTACACGGGAGGATCTTGTGAATGATCAAGACAGTTGGGACCACAGTCGCCAAACAAACCATTGGTAACACAATACGCCACCATGGATTGAAATCCTGCAGCGCTCACAAGGTCCCCTCCTCAAGAAGGCACATCTGCAGACCCATCTGAAGTCTGCCAATGAACATATAAATGATGCAGAAGGACTGGGAGAAAGTGCACTGGTCAAATGAGACCAAAATTGAACTCTTTGGCATTAGGATCACAGTCATCATTTTTTCTTCCAAGTCAAGCTAAGAACATTTGGGGGCTATTTCTCTGCTAAAGGTACAGGCCAACTTTGCGGCATTGAGGGGCCAGTGGACAGGACCATATATTGTAAAATCTTCAATGAGAACCTTCTTCGCGCAGCCAGAACACTTACCTTGGCGGTATGTTTTGGGTTTTTGTTATGCTGGAAGACCCATCTTCAAAGGAGTGGCTCGAGAATAAGCACATTAAAAAGGTCATGGAATGGCCTAGCCAGTCTCCAGCCCTTATTCCTATAGAAAATTGATGGAGGCAGCTGAAGCTTTGAGTTGCCAAGCAACAGCCAAAAAAACCCTAAGTATTTAGAGAAGATCTGTAAAGAAGAATGGACCAAAATCCCTCGAGATGTGTGCAAACCTGGTAACTAACTACAAGAAACATCTTGCCAACAAGGGTTTCTCCACCAAGTACCAAGTCACATTTTGCTTGGGGATCAAATATTTATTTTACTCACTGAACTGCAACTCAATTTATAACACCTGTATCATGTGTTTTTTCTGGATTTTTGGTTGATATTCTGTCTATCATTTAAAATACATCTATGATAAACATTTATTGACCCTTCCTTTCTTTATAAGTGGGCAAACTTACAAAATCTGCAGGGGATCAAAAAAATTTTCCCACTGTATCCAGGAAAATCATATGATAGAAAGCATCAGGTTTGCTCTTCTCTTGCTTAGTTTGCTAAATGTCAGGTAACGGTTAACATTTTTTAAATTAATGAAAAGTTGTAACACCTTAATAACCAGGATAAACATCCTAGTTAAAAAAAAAATATTTTATATATTTTGAGAGGTTTTTATTACGGTTCTTTTACATTGATTATCTATCTCATCTTTGCCTGTGGTAACTGCATTCAACCAATAAAAGTGAAATCTAAAATGTCTTTAGTCAACATTTCACATTAATAACCCTTACAAAGTCCATCAGTCAAGTGTATCTAACACTTTTGATGTTTCCAATCTAAGGACTGCCTGAACTGTGACTAGACAGTTATGCTGGTAAAAAACAAATCAGCTTATGTGCCTCCTCATCAAGTGTTCACCACATGCTAGCAGCCAAGATCCTATTATCTTTTCATATGTAGAATTAATTGGATCTGTACAATTTGACAACCACAAGTAATTAAAAATAATCAAAACTCAAGACAACACAGAAATTTAAAATGTATCGCTTTAGTTAAGGTCTGAAAAGTTATTTTTGACTTTCAAGCAGCAGAAATTGATAGAACTAAAAAAAGATGGTCCCATTGAATCTGAGCCCACGGAAAAGCCCTTGATTTCACAGCAGCTTACACACTTCTTATAACTCCTGTGGTCAGATTTTGTCACAGTGTAATGCTTCTGGGCTTTAAGCAGCTTTGAGGTTTCACAATATCTATAATAACAGCTCACACAAATGCAAGGTAAGCACAGCACAGTACTTGCAGTTGACAACACCGTATCCGAAGTCATATATGAGAATAAAAAATCCAAATGACATGAAAATGACATACAACAAACACGGCCCACCAATATATCACATACAGAATTTTCTGTGTGACTATTACCACCCAAAACTAGTTGTAAAGTTAACACTTGTGACTAGTAATTTACATTGATAAAAAGGCAAACATTTAAAAAAGGGAATCATATTTAACATTTGCAGCACATGGGAATTATTCAGTGCATGTGTACAGTTCTTTATTTCCCAAGCCTATTGGTATGAGGTATATATTTATATATGTATTTTTATTTTTGTTAAAATGCTGAATAAAAAAAAAGCAAACTTTACAAAAATGTATGTATTCATCAAGTCCCAGGACATTAAGAAAGATTAAGTAAATTCCAACCTTTGTTTTTATTTGGTTTATAAATGTGAAAAAGTGTGATGTAATGTAGATATTTTAAGATAAACAGGAATATTTTGTTGCGTAGCACCATTTTCAAAGGCTTGTATAATCAGCATATGTGAATACATGTAGTTTATCCTTCTTTACTGTTTTTGCCTCTTTTAACTCCTTTTTTTGGTGTGGCTGGAACATTCTGACAGCAGTCACATATCCAGGGACCTTTACAATGAAAACAAGAATGTGATTAGTTTCTTTAAAACAAACAGCCAAAAGCAGTGTTCTCATATAGAATAAAAGTACAGTATATACAAATTTGTAATTAAGAAAAAATAGAGGAGAACAGGTCCATCGCCTAAGGACACTAGCAAACAAATGAGGTTTTACAAAGTGGGGAAAGGTTATAGGGGCATAGCTGGAGGGAGGGGGGAGGGGGGGTTTTGTCCAGCAAAACTTTTCCAATGTCTAATAACTTGAAGGTATCAGCCTATAATCCAGGGTGTATGAATATCCAGTCTGTGTCATGTATTTAAATATTAGGGTAACTTGACTATTGCTCTCTTATGATACTTACTATATTAAAAAAAAAAAAAAAAAAAACGAGCAAAAAAAAAAAAAAAAAAAAAAAAAAAAAAAAAAAAAAACACACAGTTTTATCCCTGTAGCTTCTTTAAAGTCAATACTTTTATAAAATTATGAACTAACTGCCCCTCTTTACCCGTTACCACACATGCCAGCTCTGGGTCCAACTAATGACCTCTAAACAGTGGTCACCCTAGACTAAGGACCAACAAGCATGGTGTTCTGCATATGTGCACACACAGACCTACCAGCAAGGGGTGGTAAAGGTTTTATGGGGGAAATAGACACAAGCAGTATGCCGGTAGCTCACTGAAGATTATGAAAAAGCCACCTAACCCCATGAAACCTGTAGCCTTATGCAGGGGTTGTTAATTTGAAGTGTTTAGTAGGAACTCTAATTGGGGCGAAAGAGGGGAGCAGTTGGATTCATTATTTATAAAAATTACGGTTAGATTTTAAATCTCAACAATCTGTCTCTTAAGCAAGCAAGAACCTCTTTCTTAAGCATTTTGAGTAGTTGACCAGGAAACTGTGCTGACCTGCATGAACATGAGAAAACTAGTATTTTCAATAGAGGTCATCAATTGCGGCCTCTGTACTTCTCTTGTGGAAGGTACAGAACCTGCAGTCACAAACCTATTAACAGTAGCCCCAGTGCACTTTTAAAACAAGTCAGCAATGGAAGCTCACATTCTACTGCCCTTCTTTTTAAAAAAGGTATGGGTGCAGTTTTGCTGCAAGCATGTTCTTTTAGTAGCTCCATTTACTAAAAAGGTGTACAGAAGCCTATGCAGCACTAAAGGATCACTGGACCATCCAGCCACAGAAGTACTTAGTGTTACATATTCTCAGGGCTTTAATGATTTAACCAGTAATCCCAGAGAAAGTGAAATGTAAATGCCTCCACTATTTACAGTAGTAAAGCAAACCTACAACAATAGTCTTGAAAGGAGAAATATATTAAAAATTTACAATATGTGGCTGTCTGGGATGGGCAATGAACATTGTGCTATGTTTTGCAGGAAATCATGCTGATCAAATATCATATGTGATACAAAAACATACTCTGTGTGTAAAAGGGTTGATGCAGTTGTGCTCAAAAGTTTGCATACCCTGGCAGAAACTGAAATTTTGTCAACGATACGCAGGACTTTTGACAGTTCTTTTCTGATCCCCATGGCTCAGTATCTAGCCTAGTCAGTGCTTCCACGTAAGAGCTAACAAATTCATTGACTATTTATACACGAACACTAATTGTAATTTAAAAAGCCACAGATGTGTGACATTAACCTCTAATTAGCATTTTAATCAGTGTGTCACCTTGTGTGTCTGTACCAAGGCCAAACATTCCAGGGTATGTAAACTTTTGATCATGGCCATTTGGGTGATTTCTGTTATTGTGATTTAAAAAAAGGAGCCAAAACAACTATTTGATAATAAATGGCTTCATATGATGGTCATCCTTCAATAAAAGAGCATTTTTGGCATGATCAGTCATATTTTCAATATCAATGCCAAAATTTCACAATTTCTACCAGGGTATGCAAACTTTTTAGCACAACTGTAAATAGAGCCAAGAACACATTTAGTGACTGCAAGCATACACTGTTGATCCCAGACTACTCCCTTAGGCAAGGCTACCTGTCACATCCTAGGAGTAAGTTATACTCTGAACTTAAGTAAACATACATAATAAAACAAATTCATTAAAAGGAATTTGACTATTCTTGGACCATAGGTTATAGGCTAATACCATCAAGTGATAATACAATGCAAAGCTTTGCAGGGTACACATAGGAGTACTAATATAACCCCACTCCACCAGTCATCATCAGTTTTTTTTTTTAGTAAGCAGTGCAGAGTAACACAACGGAAAAGGGGTAGCTTGTGTCCTGTACTCCAACACATGGAATTTACAGGTAAGCCACTATTGCTATTATAATCTGTTATACAGTCCAGGACACAGTCTGGATATTCATAGACCTGGGGACACCCTCAAGCAATGAAACTGCAGGGTAGGCAACAACAAGGCAAACAGAACAGTGCCAACAGGCCCAACAAAACAAACAAGGGTCAAAGACCCAACTCAAAGTGCAGCTGAAGGAACCTTGTGGCCAAAGGCTGCATCCTGGATATCCTTCTGGTAAAACTTGAAGTAATGTCCTTTATAAAAACCTGCTAACAATGAAGAGTTAATTTTTTGGACAGAGGCCATGACTGTCAAACCCTGACAGCTTTGACTGATTCTAGACAATGGACAACAATTTCTTTGGGGTGCTTAGGAGCAGGGCACAAAGGAAGGACAAAGTCCTCACGGAGGTAGAAGTCAATACCATAAAGTACTTGAAACCAAGATCACGTTATCCTTGTGAAGAATCAGGAAAGGTTCTTACAAGAGCCACTAATTTAAAAACACATCTGACAGACTTGATTAACAACAAGAAGGCCACTTTGCAGGACAAATCAACCACGTAGAGTTTCCTAATGGGTTCAAAAGGAAGGTTTCCGCAGGGAAGACAACCAAATTGAGATCTCTAAGAAGTACAGAGGTTGAAAAGCCTGTGTTCACATCAGGCAAAATATGATTCCATGTATGGTAGTAAAAGTTTCACAAAGTGGCTTTTCTGAGCAAGTTGGGAATGAGTCAGATACCCTTGGCCTTCAAAACCTGGTTTTCAAACCGCAATGCTGTTAAAGCCATTGACCAAGTTCCTTATACTGTGAGAGACAGAAATATTCCTCCCCAGCCTGTGAGACTGGCATCTGTTATCACCCTCCATGAGTAAGAAAGAAACTACTTTCCCCATTTCCAAGGCTGGGTGGAAGATCCACCAAAACTAAGGAGCTCCTTGCTTGACTGGAGAGAAACAAAAAGAAAGAACGAGTTTATTTGTTCAGGCCAAGAGAATGTTGTGTTGTAGAGTCCTTGAGCTGAACGGAGTGAATGGAACAGCCTTGAATGCAGCTACCATAAGGCCCAGGATCACCATGTAGAATCTCACTGTGGCATGTCTTTGATATTAAAGTGGTTCTAAAGGCTGAAGGATTTTTACCTTCATGCATTCTATGCATGATGGTACAAACCTTCCGTGTCCAGCTCCCCCCTCAGCCACCGCTTATACTCACCTGAGCCCTATCCTGATCCAGCGATGTGCATGAGAGCAAACACTGTCCTGGGCCTTTTTCTCCTCATTGACTGAGACAGCAGAGAGAGCCATCAGCTCCCCCTGCTGTCAATCACAGCCAGTGAGAAGGAAGCAGGGACGGGGCTGAGCCATGCTCTGCGTGTCTCAGACAAACAGAGGTGGCTCAGGAGTGAGCATGCAAAGGTGCCCCGCTTGCGGGGAGGAGGGTCCAGGAGAACCCCCCCCAAACTTTTCAAATCACTAAGATCTAAACATGGGATCTTAGAGAGGCAAGTTTGCCAGAGGAACATTTTTGCCTGGGACATGTCTAGAATGAAGACTATGTATACTAGATGAAGGATAAGCTGGAAGTACAGCAAGACTTTTGAAAGTTGGATTTTTGGGCATTTGCAAATAGATTCTATGCATACAAATAAAAATGAGAGCATCAACACGGAAAAGAAGGGCGGATAAAAATGTTTGTAAGTGTTCTGCTGGAACTGGTCCTGGAATGCAACATCCTGTGCCATAGCCATAGTTATCAGGTATAAAAGGAGACTGTGGGTAAGAAATCTTCCACAGTTTCCTCTAGCAATGTCTCAGAGTCCTCTTCATTCTCCTGTTTCTACAGCTGCCAGAGCAAGTAAATCTACTTCTGAGGGTAAAGTGGGCACGGAGAAGCCTGGTGCTTTTGAGCTCTAAACAGTGATGGCTGTTTTAAGGCCATAAGCGATCCTAGAAAATCTGTCATAGTTGCAGAGAAATCTGCCTTGGGCAGATAGGCTGCTTGTTGCATTCCTGAGATGGTGCTAGAATTAGATGCAGAGATCTAGTGCAATGGAACATCATCACTCAGGGCAGTTTTAAGTGTTTTACAAAAACCTTTTAGCAGAGCACATGTTTGAGTTTTGCTGTGGTTCCTTTTGTGTGGTCTTCAACATTGCTATCATTGAGGGTGTTCCCCTGGGGGGTACTCATGAAGTAATGTGCAGAAATGGGGTAAGGGTGTCTGTAGAAGACTACACAGCAAACCATGCTTCAACTGTCCTGTAGCAAAGCTCTGGGGGAAAAATGGTGGGAGAAAGTGCTCGATTACCTCATAAGGGCTATGGGCAGAGGCAGTGGTAAAAGTGTGACCTGTGGTGTGTTTTAACACCTAATTATCCACCTGAGACTAAGCTCAGAATGGTGGAATTTTTATTACCAAGTTTGAAAGTTTAAACACTTCATAAGTGAATAAACCCAAACACATTCTCTGCCTCACATCACACTTAAGTAAATCAGGCTCATGATTTCCAAAAATTGTGAACTTATCATTAACATTTCCATGTATCCCGTGCGTTTGCAGAACTGCCTTGTAAAGTGTTTTATATGACTTTGAGCTGATCAGCAAACATACCTGATGGAAGAACACCAAGTCCAACACAAAAAGTATGATAGCCACGGTCACAGTGGTCACAGAACATCATATCCTCTTCATGGTGAGGCTGGCTACATATGATACAGGTTTTGCATTCCATACATTGCCATGGGTATTTTTTTATTACTGCAACCAATTCTGGTACCATATCCAAGCATGAAGGGTGACCTAAAGAGATACAATAGAAAACAATTATTATCTTTACTGCTAACAAGAGAAAAAAATATGTAGCCATCTCACATGAAAAAAACAGCTTTACCCTGTTTAGAACAGCACATTAAGGGGTTTTCTAATAGAGAGAGCACAACAGAATCTGATTGCCTTCAGACTCCTTTCTAATGGAAGCTACCTATGGCCCCTATACCTATGGTGTATGTGTTACTACTGTGGCTCATTCAACTGTGTGCATACATTTCAGCTTGAAGTATTGAAATTTGTAAAAAAAAAAAAAAAAAAAACACAACACTTTTTTTTAAATAAAGCATGTCTTTTTGGCAAACGTGAAAATGTACCTAGAGCTCCATGTGCTGAATATTGAAATATAAAATATTTAGGCTTCCCCGATTGATTAAAAAAATATACAAAAATGTAAATGCCACAAAAATTTTTTAAAATGTATTCGTTCCCTAGAAAAGGCTACAAAAATTTGCTGCTCTCTCCAGGAGTAGGAATTCTACAAAAGGGCATTCCATACCATCCTTTGCTTATCACCTTGGTGAGTGCTTTGTAAAGGATGTGCAGGTATTTCATCAGACAACATCTGTGTCTACTATTAAAATAAAGACACATAAAATGTAAGACCTCTTTCAAAAGGAGGCCAGCACCTGCAGTACGTACAGGAGAAGTTCGGTATGGCATCTGCATTTGTCCCTAACTGCGTGAACGCAACCTACAGAAAAGGATGCAGAGGCAGCAACTGCACAGACACTGCCACATATGAACATTTTAACAAAAGAACAAACCTGGCCCTGGATTCAGATTTTATAAGTCACTGAAATTGTCACTGGGTAGTTTGGGCAGCACTTAACAAAAACAGGGACTATGCTCAGGAATAGGAAATCCACATAAATGTACAAGTGGCCAAGGTAATTGGTAATAAAACTGAATCATAGCAGAACACATTTTAGGGGCATTGATTTTATTTGGGGGGGCGTTTAAGAGGTTGCCTGTTCTGTTAATTTCTCTTTTTGTTAATGGAATACTGGGACTTCTGGGTGTCTGCATGGAAGATATCTTTAAGACTACTATTTACTGGAATCAGTTATTATATTCAAAACGAGTACATACCCTTCAAATGATACTCATTATTTGTTACCTTTATTCATTTTCTTACTTATTACCTTTTAATTTTAGATTTAAGACCTTTTTATTTGAACTTTTGTAGACCTGATGAAGGTGGAGTGTGTGGCCCCCGAAACATGTTTACTCTGCTATGAATCAATGTTTTCATTAAAAATTATCTTGGACTTGTGCGTTTGGCGCTCCTTGTATAATATGCATGTCAAAATTCAACAGCCATGCAGAAGCAGGTGCTTGGCCACAAACACACACACTGAGTTTGGGGCCGTGCACTCACCCCTGCACGGCTGTCAAATTGTGACATATGGCTATGTGTGTGCAGCTGCAGACACCAAAACAACCTTCCTGGATGCAGTATGGGTGCCAATGCCCACCTGAAAGGGACCTCACAAACTAAACAAAAAGCAGGGTTTACAGGTGGAAACCCTTACTAAAATAAATAAATGCTGATGATCTGAAGTTGCTAAAGATCACCTTGATGGTTTACAGCACTACTTGAGAGGGGGAAAAAAAAAAAAAAAAAAAAAAAAAAGTATGTTGACAAATTAGAAACCTTTTTGGAAAATGTATACAGCATTATGTTAGACAAAAAAAAAACAAAAATACTATAATAACTTTGCAGACTTGGATGGTTTTAAATCATCAGTTAATGTAAGTGATTAAAGCAGACTATCAAGGTTGTTTGATCATCTCAAAAGAAGTTGAAGTTCTCAAATATGACCAAAAGCAAAGGAGTAATTAAGAAAAAAAAAAAAAAAACCCACACAATTAGTGCTGTGATCTCTATCCTATCAAAAAGCTGTAATTAACTAGATGAATTACTAGGTTATTCAAACAAGGTATCCTAAAATATGTTAGGTGAAGTAGCACTTTATATATAGCAACAGACCAAAAAAATATGATTGTGTTTACCCCTAAAAATCATTTCTTTGAGTATATAACATGACATGGGCTTACTTCACATTCATGGCTGCTCTGGCTGTGCTGCCACCTTCAGGTGAATGAAAACTGGGCAAAAAAAAAAAAAAAAAAAAAACCACAAAGACACAAAAACTCAGCTCACCAGGCCTCAGTTTTGTAAGCAATGAGGAACACAGACAAAGGAGAGGGACCCTCATGTCGTGTGATGTACCTCAAGCACAGAATATTTCAGGTAAACCAAAAAGCCTAATTTCTTAAATTGTACATCACAAGACACAGACGACTACTTGGGATGTCTTAGAGCACTGAACATGGGGGGTGAGCAACACAGCGATAAGGCCAACAAGTCAAAAAAAAAAAAAAGAACATAAGAGGAGAGAAGGGAGAACCCCATACAAAAGTCGCTTGCAAGACCAGTCGCCCAAAAAAATGGCTCCTGCAAACATCCGCCAGGTAAAACGTATGAGAAAAAAGACCAGGCAGCAGCCTACAAACTTGAACCACAGAAGTTTGATGCCAAATAGCCCAAGAAGAAGGAAAGAACCTTGCCCTTAAACTTGTGAAATGGTGATGCATTCATCTAGAAATAATGGATCGAGAAGCAGCCTGACCCTTCTGAGTACCCTCAGGTAAAACGGGGAATCAGACAGTCGAAATTGGGTTGTAGATTTCAGACAAATCTGAATGGCTCGAACAACATACAAACAGTGATTCGCTCTCTTTCAGATATTTAGGATTGGGATAAAAAGATGGCAACACAATGTCCTGATTCAGAAAGAACAAGGACATTGCCTTAGCTAAAAAGGAAAGCAGAGACCTCAACACCTCTATTCTGAAGAATCATGAAAAGGTTCTTTGCAGAAATGTGCAGCCAACTCCAAGAAGAAGAGACAAAAGGAATCTCAGAGAGGCTTAAATGGAGAAATCTGTAAAGCTAACACCAAATTAAGGCCCAAGGAAACAAGGGGGCCCACAGGCAGAACAATCTTTGCAACACCCTGCAAAAAGGCTTCTTACCAAGAAAGGATGTGGTAGGTCACTGAAACAAAATCAAAGCCAAGATCTGCCCTTGATGGTATTCAAGCCCAAAGACCTCTCTACAGACTGAAAGGCCCAAGTAAGTGTCACAATATATGGTTTGATTCGAAACTTGCAAGCCTTACACCAGGTGAAATTAGCCTTCCATGTAAAAGGTACACCAGCAGAATATTTTTGTCCCACTGCTACGGTAGACATATGCCACAGCCCAGGCATTGTCTGGCTGCACCCTGACAGGGAGGCCTTGATGACAGGCAGACCAATGCTGGAGAGCAAGCAGAACTGCCTCAAGCTTGAGAATGTTGATCAGCAACGTCCGTTCTTCCGATAACCATGTTCTCCAGGATGCCTCTCCAGACAAGTAAGTTGACATCCATCATCAAAACCTTCCAAATCATAAGAAAGGATTTTCGGTCATCTAGCCTCTACATGGAGATTCACCAAACCAGAGCTCACCTGGTTTTGGTAGTTAGGCAAATCCAAGGACTTTTGACACTTATCCCACACTGACTTATTGAATTTCTAATGCTCTGGAGTAAAACTAAACACAATCATATTGAAGGCAGCCACAGTCTCCCCGATCTCTCCCTTCCCCCCATGCAGACAAGAATAAAACTCTCCAACAACCTCAAGGGACTCCATTTGAAAATACAGACACAAGGATTTCTCCTGCAGAAAGAACACCTTGACCTGTGCCATGTCAAAGGCTCACCCCAAATATTGCAGATACTGCATCGGAACTAAGGCTGACTTTTGAAGGTTCAGTGTCCAAACAAGCCTTTCCAAGACCTGCACTATCAGACAACCCCAGGACTGGAGTCAACACCTCGGTAAACACCTTGTGAACCATAGAAAGACTGAACCAAATGTCCTCAAACTGATAGTGGTCGTCCTCTACAGCAAATTGCAGAAACAGTTGGAAAGGAGGATGTGCAGGTGGGCACCCTTGATCTTCAATGAAGCAATCACTGACTCCGGTAGACTCCACTTGGAATTTTTGCACTCTTAAGAATTTGAGACCCTGGAAGTCCAGGTTGGAATAGAAGTCAAGAGACCTCTCCTCTAAGTATGGGGGTTGAAACAGCAGTCTTTGCAGAACTACAAAAAAATAGCTGATAAAAAAAAAAAAAACAAAACAAACAGTCTTTTCTACCTGGTAGAAGGATTTTGGAGCCCAATACATTGCTCCAGCTCTCCCTTCCACCTCTGCACTGTATACTCTCAATATGGGAGTGGTCCCCAGCTAAGAAGAGTGTCTAAGAGGACTAAGATCCAAGATGACAGATATGGCATTACTCAAAATCTCCTATATACCATCAAACCAGCTCTCTGCTCCAGGTGCTGGTCCCTCAAGGAGCACATCCTGCTCCATCCATCTACAGCATCACAAAGCCTGAGGTGTGTACTCTGAATGTATCTACAAAGTCTCAAAGTGAAAACAAAAGCCTATTGGCCATACAGCTCTGATGCATTTCACCCTTGGGTTTAGTTGTCAAGGCCTTTGAACTTGGTCAATACATTCAGAGTAATTGATAAAGAATGAGAGTGCAGCGCTAACCCAAATAGCGATTAAACATATGATAGACCACATATGATAGTGGATCAGTAAAATGTCAGTGTAAGTTCATCAGATGTGCTGAAAGTGCATACAGTCTCCAATATGTAAAGGACCAAAAGTAGTGACTTTCAGAAATGATAATAGCCAAATAATGCACTAACCAGATAGCGCATATTAAAGCGCATGGAGCATTTAAGACCTGCCCCTGGTGCTCAGCCACTGTATCACTGGAGCCAGGAGATGTCATCTATAGGGTGACCACTAGATGTCATCTATCCGGATGGAAGCTGAGTCCAGCCACTGTATTAGAGGATCAGGCGGATGTCATCTATTGGGCGACCACTAGATGTCA